ATGTTCCCTTGGTATCTCTAATTTTCTTGAAGAGATCTCTAGTCTTTCCCATTCTGTTGTTTTCCTCTATTTCTTTGCATTGATCACTGAGGAAGGCTTTCTTATCTCTCCTGGCTATTCTTTGGAACTCTGCATTCAAATGGGAATATCTTTCCTTTTCTTCTTTCCTTTTCGCTTCTCTTCATTTCACAGCTATTTGTAAGGCCTCCTCATACAACCATTTTGCCTTTTTACATTTCTCTTCCATGGGGATGGTCTTGATCCCTGTCTCCTGTACAATGTCACAAACTTCTGTCCATAGTTCATCAGGCTCTCTGTCTATCAGATCTAGTCCCTTAAATCTATTTCTCACTTCCACTATATATTCATAAGGGATTTGATTTAGGTCATACCTGAATGGTCTAGTGGTTATCCCTACTCTCTTCAGTTTAAGTCTGAATTTGGCAATAAGGAGTTCATGATCTGAGCCACAGTCAGCTCCCGGTCTTGTTTTTGCTGACTGTATAGTGCTTCTCCATCTTTGGCTGCAAAGAATATAATCAATCTGATTTCGGTGTTGACCATCTGGTGATGTCCATGTATAAAGTCTTCTCTTGTGTTGTTGAGTCCCTTGTTATGGGGGGTGGGGGTGGGCAAGAGTACCACTACCTTCTCCAGGGATCGAACCCAGGTCTACCCATGCTGTAGGTAGAACGCTTTACCGCCTGACCTACCAGGGAAGCCGATATTGATAGTAGCAATATGCTTTAGTGGAACAGCACTGTCTAACAGAGTTAGCAGTTTATAATAGGCAGAAAAACTCACTGAATTTCAGGAAGGAATGCCACCAAACATTTAAAGAGTTAATGCCAATCCTTCCTAACTCAAAAACGGAAAAAGAGAGAACATTCCCACATTTATTTTATGAGGCCAGAATTACCTTGACACCAAATGAGGACATTTGGTGACACTAGATGAGGACATGGAAAAACAGAAAACTAAAGGCCAATCAATATCCCTGATAATATAGATGCAAAAATCCCCCAAAGTACTAACAAACAGAAATCAAAAGGAGAATAAAAGGACCATCCACTAAGATCAACTGGGATTTGTACCTGAAATGTCAGGATGATACAACACATGCAAATCAGTATACGTGATAATCACATTAATGGAAAACAAGATAAAAAGCAATGATCATCTCAGTAGATGCATAAGAAAACATGACAAAGACAGCATCTTTTCGTCATCAGAACTCTCAACAAATTGGGAATATTTACCCTTTCAACATAAACTTTCTTCTAAAGAGTGAATCCCATGAATGTATCAAATCTCCTTTTTAGAAGCATTCAAGATAGCACTAGCCTTAATTCAGAATCCCTGTTATGTTGTCATGGTGTGGTGGTTCGTGTGTGTGTGTGTGTGTTTGTGAAAAAGAGAGAGAAAGACAGGCATTTAAAGTATGTCTCCTTTACAGATAATAGACACAAAGAAATGGGGACTTGAGTATCTGTGATCTGTTAATTCTCTCTCACCTCCTGTAATATTGTCAGTTTTACAATAAAGTTCTCAAATACCTCTTCAATTGATGAGGAAAATGCTGCTGCTGCTGCTGCTAAGTCACTTCAGTCGTGTCTGACTCTGTGCGACCCCACAGACGGCAGCCCACCAGGCTCCCCCGTCCCTGGGATTCTCCAGGCAAGAACACTGGAGTGGGTTGCCATTTCCTTCTCCAATGCATGAAAAGTGAAAAGTGAAAGTGAACCTGCAATGCAGGAGACCCCTATTTGATTCCTGGGCTGGGAAGATCCACTGGAGAAGGGATAGGACACCCACTCCAGAGGTTTTGGACTTCCCTTGTGGCTCAGCTGGTAAAGAATCCACCCGCAATGCAGGAGACCTGGCTTCAATCTGTGGGTTGGGAAGACCCCCTGGAGAAGGGAAAGGCCACCCACTCCAGTATTCTTGCCTGGAGAATTCCATGGAATGTATAGTCCATGAGGTCGCAAAGAGTTGAACACGCCTGAGCAACTTTCACTTTAGTTATATTTATTGTTTCATTCAAATAGAAAGATAATATATTTACTAGCAAGAAACCAAGAGTGAGACAAAAATTAGCGAAAACATTTAACCTGAAAATCTGTGCTGGACTCAAGCATAGAATTAGAGTTGAGAAGAAAATGTTTAAAAAAAAAGTGTAATCCCAAACGAGACACTTCTAAGAGTTGGTGAATGTTCAAAAATTAATTATTTATATTTTATGTACAATTGTAAAATATTTAATGAAAAGAATGTTGGGTTTATTATATCCTTTATCATAGAAATAGTTATATTCAAAATATCACTGAAACCAAACTCCTTCTATAAAAGTTATCTATCTGCATTTTAAATTGAAATTGCATAAATATGTTTTGATTATATAAGCTTTAAAATACCATAAATAAAATTATTATTCTGTGGTATATTTCCATACATGAAAATTTATAATCTTATCGGATCTAATATTTAATACTCTTATGACTAGTATTTTCTGAAAAATTTATTTCTAAATTCTGTCTTATTACATATTTCTTACAAAATTGCCTGAAATAGTATTCAAAGTTGTATTTTAGGATTTAAAAACTTTGAATAGATTACACCTTCATTTATGCTTTGTTGTAGATCATAATTTTTCTAAATTAAGGAGACACTTTCTACAGCTTACCTGGTAAATTCAAGAGGGAATTCTTAATTATACGTTTGTTTTTGAAATGTATAAATATTTTCCTAAATATTTTCACAAGTTTAGTCTGTTTGGCCTTCATTAGATCATAGATTTTGACAAATAGTGTTTAAACAAAAGAAATTTGCTAAATTAGATGACTATATGCTTTCCCAAATCTAGATGCTATGAAAAGTTTAGGACTCAATGTAATTCTATTATGTTATGAAACATAATTTCATTCAATTACAAGTAGGAACTCCTTTGAAAAATGTTTCCCCACTTATAACATTTAAAAGTTGACTTTCGTACACAATTTAAAAATCATTTAAAATTTTTAGTTTGTCCTTGACAGTAAAGTGATATATTTTAATGTTATACTACTCCAAATGGTTTATTTCAAAAATAGCAACTCAATTCAGTTTTAAAATAT